CCCCACAACACCACTACTGTCTCTTATACACATCTCTTCCACCCCGCTCCCAGCATTCCTATCACCCCCGCACTCCCTATGACACCCAACCACACTCGCCAGGACCCGCACCCGCACCCGACCCCACAACACCACTAACCCCGTGACCCCGTGACCCCGCACCCCGCACACGCAACCCCGCTGCCACCGCCCTCTTGTCCGTCCCCGCCCCCGCCTGGGATGGTCGTGACCCCTTTTTGGGGGGGGGGGGGGGGGGGGGGGGGCATCTGGGGGCATTTTCTGCATCGGTGGAGATTCGCACAACCCCCCTCCTTTTTTTTTTTCCCCGGTACCGGGGCCAGGCTCATGGGTGCCCAGCCCCGGATCTAATTACATGCATTGGTATTGTAACAGCTTACTTAGGTTCCACTATAGCCCTTAGTCAAGTTGATATGCTCTAGATTTACCTTGCAACCAGCGTTTGATCAGCCAGAACGAGACTTCACTAGCATTCACTTCGCAACCCAGTAACGTATTAAAAGCCAATACATGACCGGGAACTCACCAGTGCCTCCACGTAGAACTCTGGCACGTAGCTGAAAATGCGCTCCCTCTTGCTCGCAGCCAAGAGCAGTTGCACTATGTATATACAAGTAGCATACATCCCATGCTGTTTTGATGGAGAGAAAAACAAAACACGGTACCTGAGACAACAGCAACCAAGCAATGCATAGAGGTTGGCATGGGTCAGCTGACAACCACACTTTGAAATACACACCACGCAGGGAGACAGGCGCACAGTACTACACATAAGAGTACATTGACAAGACTTTCCAAAATGCACCTAGACTCTCAATTACGGCCATCACTGCATGTGCCTTACCGCCATTGTGTCCACAAGTCAGTCGAGAGGTCCTGGTGTGCGTACGCCCCAACACAGGGTATAAGCACTACACGAACAAATTGGAAGCCAAAGAGCTGTCCAGCAGATAGACAAAAGACTAGGTCTGCTTTCGGCTACATATCAGTCCTCACAGCTGTTATGTCGAGAACAGGTTGCATGCAAAGGGCGGGCGCCAGGAGGGAAGAAAACACTCTCACCAAACTGGCCTATCCGAGAAAGTTCAAAGTGCTCCAAAGCACAAGGGATAATAACTATATCTCACAGCTGTGTATGCGGCCTGTAAATCGCCCGAAATACAGCTATTGCAATCACCCGTCAAAACACAGAATGAGAACACTGCTGATTTCTGAGCTCTGAAAGCCTTGCTGAGATTCCCACGTTCGACTAAGTTTCTGTGTGTGTGCATGCTTGCTGGTCTGCGTGCCGGTCTGAGTGCTTGTCGGCCTGAGTGTGTGTGTGACCCGCAAGGGCACTTGTTAGTTTGAAGGACCCACGGGGCCCGTACTTACCTGTGGCCACGACTTTTGAGGGTTGCAGCAGGGAAAACACTCAAGTGGCAGGAGTAGGCCTGCGACACTTACAGCGGGAAAAACACTCCACTAGAAGGTAGGTCGGTACCACTCAAATAGTGGTAGATGTGTTCGGAACTGGAGGCCAAGCAGAAGAACACAAAAGTTGACATTTTTCGTAGTTGGTAGGCTAGGTCTGGGCGGGTACCTGTCCAAGTAGCCTAAGTGTGGCATACTCAGCTCCCCACGGGCCCAGCAGGGCCCAACCAGGTAGGCTAGGGGTCCGTATGGTAGGGTCTGTGTCGTTTCGACCCTCAGTAGGGTCCGCAGGGTCAGTAGGTCGGTTTTGGGCTAGAGTAGGACCGGCACCAGTTGAGAGGCCCTGCAGGCCTCGTTTTGGTTACAGGCCCTGGCATGCGTTTTGGCGCCAAGGCCCTGACTTTGAGGCCGCGCCGTTTCGGTAGGCGCTGGAGGCCCAGCCTCAGTTTGGGCGCCAGGACTCAGCACTGAGGCCGACCCAGCGCTATCTATAGCTGGGTCCAGCCTCAGTTCGGGCATTCAGTAGAGGATCGAGGTGAGGCATACTTCCGACAACAGCGGTGCAGCAGTAGCCAACGCTGGGCGCTGATAGAGTAGAGTAGCGCAAGGAGGGGGAGATGGTGATTGCTGCGTGACCATTGCTCCAGCTTCGTCTTCAGCACGTCCGCACCTGCATCAAGGCACCACCTTTCGCAGGTCAGTACCTGGTAGAGAGAGAGAGAGAGAGAGAGAGAGAGAGAGAGAGAGAGAGAGAGAGAGAGAGAGAGAGAGAGAGAGAGAGAGAGAGAGAGAGAGAGCTTCTTGTTCTTCTTCCTCCAGTCCACCACCTTCTTCTTCCCCTCCCAGCGCTTCGCTTCTTATCTGGCTATGAGAGAGAGAGAGAGGGAGGGAGGGAGGGATTGACGACGCTTGGGATCCGGACTCGAGGCTACTGGGATTGATATCAGCGACATTCAGGTTGCCAACATTCTCATCTCTTCCCCCTTCTCCTTCCTCTCTTCCCCCTCCTCATCATCTGTGTATGAGTTAGGCCTGGCACCTTCGTCCTGTGTGCGGAGCCAGGCTGTGAGATATCAGCGACATTCGGGTTGACGACATTCTCATCTCTTCCCCCTTCTCCTTCCTCGATTCTTGGTTCTGGTCTGTACCATCTTTGGTATGCGACAGGTTGGTATCCGAGCAGACCTCTCGAAAGAGGATCTGCCCAATGAGGAAACCAACTTGATTGATTGATCAATGAAGTAGAGATTCGTCAAATTTCGACCAAAAAAAAATAAATCTACCCAAGTTGTGACCTTGATTAGCGGTAGTTATCACTAACCCCGGATTTGCGCTAGTCAGGAATTAGCACTAATCCGCGATCAAGATTAACAACTAACTAAAGGATTAAATGTTTTGCAAGTGTTTTTTTCTTTCGTTTCTTCTTTTCTCTCTGAGGTAAGTTATTAATTATGAAGTTCGAATTTTTGGCACGTGCCAATCTGATACTCTCGAAAATTCCAAAATTTTCGGCATTCCGCGAAATCCGTGAATTTCAGAATCCCGAAATTTTGAAAATTCAGAATTCCGCGAAATCCACGAAATTCAGAAATCCCCAAAATTCCGGACATTCCACGAAATTCACGAAAACCGTGTCTAATCGGGCTTAGGGTTCGGAATGAGGTTATGACAGATTTCGTTTTTCGAAACTCGTGAAAATTTTCAGGATGTTATGATCCTGGCCAATTTCGAGATACACATCCATCAGAAAGTACAATGCCTTCGAACTGCAAAAAGAAATGCCGCTCCGGCTAGGAGTTCTACCTTCTTTTCTCTGAGCTTTTCAGTCTGTTTCTCCGAGTTCATTTCCTATGCCCGTTGAGACTCGCAACCAGAAAGAAGAAAGAGAGAGGAGGGAGAGAGAGAAAAGGAAGAGATGGAAAGTGACCGTCTGGGGTGGGCAAGGACTGGGAAATGGAGTATCCGTCCAAGAGAAAAGGGAATGTACCTCTTGACAGTCTGATTGATTCTTTTGCTGATTGGCGTCTCCACGACTAACCTCAGTACAGTGGAGGGCCCTCTTAAATGCGCCCAGCGCTACGGAGAAACCGTATCTGCAAGCACTCATAGATAGTGCTATAGAAAGGGAACAGGAAGCGAAGAAGGAGAGGACGGAACAGCTGCTGAAAAGTCAGCAGGCCATCTTGGAAACTGTTCCCTCGCCGACCAACGAGCAGAGTGGGGAACAGCTGCAGTCCATACTCACCGCTATCGTCCAAATCCGGAGGCTTGAAGATCATACCACTCAGATCGTCGACGTCTTCACAAAATTGAAGACACTTCAGGAGGATCTGACTGATATGACCCGCAAGTACCACGACTTGATGGTAGAGGTTGCTGCGCTGCGACACGCCCAAGTAACCAATCCTCTTCCTCTACCCCCTGGTTCCCCTGGTTCCGGAGCTGCGATTGAGACTAATCTTGCACCTCTTACCGTATCTACTTTTGCAGCTTCCTTGAGTGTGACTGTGAACCCCTCATGACCTGCGGCAGGTGCAGATTCCGCTGCTGCTGTACTCAGCAACGAGGCAGGAAACTCTGCAACTGCTGCAGCCCTAAGATCGAAACCAGCAGTTGCTGGTTCCCATGTGGACCGAAAGGCAGTGCAAATACCGTCTAAGTGCGACGGCAAAGAAGACATTGAATCCTGGATCAGCTCCACGAGGGCATACTTCGAGGTGCTGGGGACTCAGCCAGAGACCCAGCCAATGATCATGGGAATGAATGTCGAGCCGGTTGTACGAGGCTTCCTAGAAGTCCAAGCTACGCGGGCTGGGGTTCCAAACATCGAACTAACAAGGTGGCTTAAGGCCACCCCGGTGGCCTCCCTCGAAGAGTTCACCGGTTCCACCAAACATCCAAAACCTACTCGATCAGATCCCAAAAGTTCTGGCCGAGCCACGTGGAGTCCCCACGCGATCGGTCCAACACACCATCGAGTTGATCGAGGGTGCCGTTCCTCCAAAGGGCTGCGTATACCGAATGGAACGTGGCGAGTTGGAGGAACTCCGGAGACAGATTGACGAAATGATTGACAAAGGGTGGATCAAGCCTAAAGAGTCTGAATTTGGTGCTCCTGTCTTGTTTGTTCCAAAGAAAGGAGGCAAGCTCCGCATGTGTATTGACTATCACGACCTAAACCGCATCACAAGAAAGAACGCCTATCCATTACCCCGAATAGATGACTTGCTTGATGCCGCAGGTGGGTGCAAAATCTTCTCCAAGATCGATCTCAAGTCTGGCTACCACCAGATTGAAGTCGATCCTACGGACCAGCACAAAACTGTGTTCAAAACACGTGATGGGCTTTACGAGTTTACCGTAATGCCCTTTGGCCTTACCAACGCACCGGCCACCTTCCAAAGCCTCATGGACAAAGTCCTCCGCGAACAAATTGGCCGGTTCGTGGTGGTCTACCTCGATGGCATACTAATCTACAGCAAGCCCATGGAGGAACACCTCAAGCACCTTGAGGAAGTACTGACCATCCTCGAGAAGACACAACTCCATCTCAACTTAGAGAAATCTGAGTTTGGGAAGGATAGTGTCATCTATCTTGGGCACCGGTTGTTTGCTGCAAGCCTAGAGCCTGAGGCAACCAAGGTGGAGGTCATACGCAACTGGCCTCAACCCTTGAATCTTCGCGAACTGCGCTCTTTTCTTGGTCTCGCGTCATACTATCGAAAGTTTGTGCCCCGCTTCTCCATTGTTGCACGTCCATTGTCTCGACTGACGAGTAAGAATGTTCCCTACTATTGGGACACCACGTGCACGAACACCTTTCAAGCTTTGAAAGACGCCTTGGTAAGTTACCTAGTACTCCGCATTGCAGATCCCAAACTGACATTCGTAGTTTCTACGAATGCAAGTCGGTATGGAATCGGCGTAGTGTTGCAGCAAGATGACGACGATGGCTTGTGGACGCTCAAATTCTACAGCAAACGCATGCCCAACGTAAAGGGAGCCACTTCCACCTACATGCGCGAGCTCTATGCTTTGTGTATGGCTTTGGTCCCCTACGTTAATTCGCTGGTTCCATGAAATTGACATCTTTGACTTTGAGTTGAGACACAAAAAGGGTTGTTATAATCGAGTCGCTACCGCATTGTTTCGCCACCCTGAGTACATGACTTGCCTTGTGAGATCCTACGACCTCCGAAAGAAACTGAAGGAGGAGCTCGTAGAGCAGACAGCGAAGGATCCGAAACTTAGT